ATGAGATACCAATTACGAGCCAATCACAAGGAAATTTCACAATTATTTCAATTACAATTCAAAATTTTCCCTCAATCATTTTTTTTAAATTAAAAAACCAACTCTTCCCAATTATAAATTATCCATAAATATAACATTATAAAATCCCTACATTATAAAAAAAAATCAGTACGAGACTGAAAATTTGGATGTCCCTCCATTTTTTTAAATTTATTAAAAAATTCAATTACATTGTTTTATGGTGCTCTGACTAATTTCCACGGATAATTCCACGGAATTAAGTATTTCAAGTAATTATTCACGCGGTAAAATACTCGAGAAAACAATTTCCCACGGAAAATAAATGAGCATTGATGTTTTAATTGAATAGTAGCCGACGTTTATATTCGCCTTTTGAATGCACCGAGCGTTTGCGTCGACCAGAATTCATTGAGAAATATTTGCAATGAGTGCACCATAACAGGGGAACGAGAGGGCAATTGTGAGTGATTCGTTTTAAACTGAAATTAAACTGTTCTCGACGAGCGGACAACGTCCTTGCATTAATATATACGATATACTCTTACAATATAATTAAAAAAAACTATATCGCATGATAATTTCCATTATCTTCGCTGATCGCACACAGCAGAAAAAAATTATAGCAATTATTAATTTAAATTGATAATAAATTGATGATAAACCATACCAATAATAATCAATAATAATGATATTAATTAATTCATAATGATAATAATGATATTAATTAATTCATTATTATCTGATTCATTAATTAATTTCTCCCTATTAAATTTCTAGACTGATATATGTGTTCATTAAAATTGAGTTGGATTTCTTTATTTAGTCCTCGATTTGTTATATTTTTTTTAACCGAAGAGAAAATTAATAACCATTAATTTCCGAATGCGCAGAAATATTTTTCTCATATCCGAAAGGATCTAGTCTCTCGTGCTGATTTCAATCAGGTCCACTACCTCCGATTATTCACTCTGTATTAAATATCGAGGATATAGCGTGCTCTCTTCGATTTGTCTGGAAGGCGGCGAGTTTGGAGGATTTATTGGCTGAATTGAGCCAATAAATAAGCACCCACCATTTCCATCTACTCTCCAATCAGTTAAATCTCTATTTTTTTATGTTTACAGATGATAATGACAAGTACGATATCATTGGGGAGAATGAGGGGATCATCAAGCACGTGTCCCAGGATGGAGTGTACAGCGTCTCCAGGGAAAAACGATCCGTTGAACCACCTCCAATGGCAAATGCAACAACATCGCCAATTGCTCAGGATTCTATTCATAATCCACCGCTGATTAAAGTGAAAACCGGTTCAACAGCCAATGTAACGTACTCAACTAACAACGCCTCTAATTCAACAACTCCACCAACAATCTCAACAGCTATTGCACCGACCGTGAAACAAGAGGATGGAAAAAGTGGACAGAATATTACGGCTACATCGACACCTCCGAGTCCCGCCAAAGTACCGGTTAGTGCAGAAAATATCATTTTTTACTTCTCTGACTTCTCCATGGGTTTCAATAAAACAGGATTTTTCCTGGGGGAATTCACCAGGTGAAATTAATCGGCCATGGTGATTCCCCAGAAAGCAGTTCTTTTGAAGTTTATTTTAAAAATTGTAATGGTTATCCAGTGATTATTGCATGATTACAGTACATGTAAAACGACGACAAAATAATCCAGTAATTTTTATTGAATTTTGCAGTTCGTCTGGGCAAATGAGACAAGATGGGCGAATGCAACGAAGGATAAAGGTCCCACCAGAGAGGATAACAAAACGACTAAAGTGAACTTGACGCAAACCTCGGACTCCTCGGACTCAGACATCGACAGCATAACAATTGATAAATTCAATGGTGTAACCAACACAACACTCACCCAGAACAACATAACGAAAACTGAGGAGGACAATCATCTTTATTACAACAGCACATTCATCGTTGATGAGAGTATCGGAAAAAGTTTGTGGATCGATCTCGATAATCATCCTAATAGACAGGTCAATACTCTATTGAGTGACAGTCATCGCAGAGCAGCCACTGTTAAATTAACTTTCGATTTTCCATTCTACGGGCACAAAGTTCGTAATATAACTATTGCTACTGGTGGATTTTTGTATACTGGGGAATTTGTGCACAGTTGGCTAGCAGCCACACAGTACATTGCCCCCCTCATGGCGAATTTTGATACGCGACTGTCAAAGGACAGTCATGTCACATATGCCGACAACGGTAAGTAAAAATGACAATTTTCAGCATTTTTCAGGATTCTTCATTTTTACACTCTTCAAATTATTGACAAATATTTACCTGTGACACGATAATTTTATTATTTAAATAATAATGATAATTAATTAATTATAAATTAATAAAGTAATTGGGGAATTCAGATATAGTAAGGTAATGAAATATTCTCAGTAACTGAATTTTTTATGGGAGCGAATGGAAGTTTGAAAAAAATATTTGCGATCTTTGTAATGACCAATTACTCTGTCCTCCAATTGTCCATTGCTCGATAAAGAGTGATTAATGAAACTGGCCTCAATAAATATTCATTGATTCCACAGGCACGGCCTTCACAGTGGAATGGTCCAAAGTAATTCTCCAAGATAAGCAAGAGGCCGGTCCATTCACGTTTCAAGTGACACTCCACAAAAATGGAAATATCGTATTTGTGTACTCTGTCATGCCACTTTTGGTTGAAGAAATCGAGGACAAAGCTCATCCCGTTAAAGTAGGACTTAGTGACGCCTACATCATGGACAAAACTCTCTACTGTAAGTTTGGCGAATGAAAATATAGAGAGAAGGATTTATCGAGATCGAACTAGACGGGGTACAGACTCAATGCGTCGTGGCACCTGGCAATTGTATTTTTGGATTTATCTAGACTCTTGGATCATCTCCAGGGGAGTAAAAATACCGTGGGGATGTTTCACGTGGATATTTACGGTGTGACCTGTTATAGAATTCTATCGAGCGGGTTTTATTGATCGGGACTACTCATTGGTCTAGAAATTGTATTTATTTTCAAATTCAATAATTCTGTTCATCAAATAGAAAAGTAAATATTTTTCAAACAAAATATATTCAACAAAAAAAATGAACAATTACAGGTAATTAATCGAGACCTAAAAAATGGAGGCAAAATA